CTACTTCATTTTTCAGTTAATAAGACAAGAAATGTCATTATTATTTTAGGCATTAGCTGTGATGTGAGATGGAGTGCATGGCATTCCCTGGTTAATAATGCTACATTCTGTGCTATTAACTTTTCAGAGCAGCTGTTCCTGCTACCTACTGCCTTGTTCAAGACAATACTCTAAGTTACAGTCACTAAAAATGTCTATTCATGAAACACGATGAAATACAAACAGACAAGATTCATGAATCTTTAACTTTGTATTCTAATTTGTTTTTAACTAAGTTGAGGATCAAACATGAACATTTTGGTATTTCATATATGACATGTTTCTGCGTATGTACCATGGGACCAAATCAGAAACCCTCAGTTTGTTTTTTTTAATAACGAGTTTACCTTATGTAAAATAAATAAAATTATGTAAAAATGCCAGGATTTGGCTCAAATCTGTGACCTGGGCAGCAAGTACATGGAAAAAACTGTCAGATCCCTGCCCCTGCTGTCTGATTCACATAGCAGTTGTGTGTGCTAGAACAACATGACTCTTAGTACACAGGCTACTTTTAGGCAGAGAATACTCCCACACATACATCACATCGAAGGTTTTGGCACACTGACCATTTAAATTAAGAAGTATTATATAAAACATGCCAGGAACATTAAAGAATGACAATACAGTAATGGAAATAGGTTGAATTAGCTTTGTAATTAGTGTTCTGCTATGTCAAATATTGTTATATCAGCAACAATAACAGTATTTTTTATTTATTAGCATTCCAGGAACACTTATTATTACATATTTCTATGTTTTTTGAACAAATCTTTTGGTTAACTAGACTTTATTTCCATGATAGATAATAACAACAGAGTAAAACTGATGCCTGACGCTGGTATTCCTGGATCTGACTACATTAATGCCAGCTACGTGTCTGTAAGTAGAAAGTCTCTCATATTTTTAATATGTTTGTTTTCTGGTAGAAGAGAGAGTTAAAAAATAACTTGCAAGAAGAACAGAATTCTAATTTTTCTTTGATTTACTACAGCCACTGTTGCCATGGCATTTTTCAAGTGACTTCTGTGGCACTGAGCATGACTATTTAAAAATACACATTATTGTATTTTCATTGCTAAGCAATGATTTCCAGTAAGAATCAAAACTGTGTCCAGTAAATTGCTTTTTATAAATTGTCTCATACCATTATCATTAAAGACAGTAGTGAAACTCCCACAGAGGTCAATTGTTTAGACAGGTGTTATTTGATCTCTTGGTTCAGGAGTTAGAGTTGTTTTATATGAACAGGACAATGTAAAGATAAACTGAAAACTTTTACAAAAATTGCTCGTAGTTTTGGCATGGCCCTTATGGAGGAAAATGCAAATAGGCTTCTTGAGGAAGAAACTAATACTGTATTTCTCATCCTCGGCTTTCTTCCTAGACTTTTCATTTTCTTATTATGTAGTCAGTAAATTCTTTATCTATATTTTTACCTGATTTTTTGTCCTGTTGAAGCTCAAAGTGTGAATTATAATTATGCATTTAATTTCTTTTAGCAGTGGCTGGTGATCTCATATGAGGTCAAGACTTGATTTGCATTACACATTTTTCAAACACATAGCAAGACGTGCAGACTGTAGTCTAAACTGATAACACAATGGCAAGTAGAAATGGTTATTTCCAGGTAAATGAAAGACATTCACAGAGAATAAGCAATAGAGCTGAGAGCATCTTCCTTTCTCATTAGAAAATGCTGTTTATTCCCTTTATATGGAATATCTTTGTTCTGACAGTTAGCAGACAGGAAGAACCATGCCACTTGATGCTGGGACTATACACAGAAAAACTGAGAAGGCAAACGGACAGCTTGGAGCATGGCCTAGTCTTTACCCTTTCTATCACTACCTGACACGTCATGTCTTACGCAGGGAACATGAACAGCAACTTCCAAAAAGCTGCAGCAAAAGCCAGTTACAGAGAGTGTTCCCTGTTGAGATTTTGCTGGTCTTTACTGCATACAGGCATCTCATTTTGGGACACCATTCATCAGTGAATAGACAACTCTGGTGTTACCATTTCTCAAGGCTAAAGCTTTACCCTTTAAATGCTCTCCGTATTTGTAGATGTGTAAATATATAAATGCATATAGCTGAACCTCTGCAATATGTGTATGTATGTATTTACATACCTAATTATTTAGGTGTATATGCATATGCACGCAGGATTACTCTAGAGGAGAAAAGACAACGCAGAAAGAATCGTGCCTTGCAGAATATATCTCCTAAGGAGTCTTTCTGCTGTGCCTTTTGCAACCGGATGTGTCTATCTCGTATTGGCCTTTTTAGCCACCAACACACTTGTAACAAACGTGGGTAGAGCCCTTCCCAAATCTTCATTCGCGAAGCCTAGCCACGATATACATATGCACAAATATAAAGAGAGGAAAGGAGAAGTCTTGTATATAGTTTTAACAAATGGGAACTCTGCTGCTACTTTTATTTTCATTGGTTAAACAAGAAAAAGTCAGTAACTGAACTGTGAGCTTGGCATCCCTGAATCATAGTTTCTCACCTCACTCTCAAATTGGGAAGGATTAACATAGTTTCCCATTTCCACCTGTTCTTTATATTATAGATGGAGTAAGTAACAGGCAGCTGTGAATTATAGGGCTATAATTCCAATAAGGAGCTTTGATGGTGCTATAAACCACTGTGTCAGTTGTTTTGAGCAATAAGCAGAACTCTGTGATATTATAAACTGCTAGTAGTACAGCATAAATTTATTGTTATTATTGTTATTATTTTACTTTCTGTAATACTTAATAGTTCCTCTATGTATGCTTTGTTTCTTTGAGGAAACAGATCCAAGTGAAACCACGCACTGACAGCACTCACACAGATTTTTTTTCAACAAACTTCCTCCCAAGTTTTACATCAATTTAAAAATGAATTAAACAGTAGAAGACAACACCAAAATAAAAGTCAATGTCTACAGTAGGTTTCTCGAATACCTTTTATCAGAGATCATTTCTTTGAGTAAGCTCCAGCCCTAAGTTACAGCAGATCCCTGATGAGCACAAGAAGAACAAGGTCATCAGTGGGGTGTATCTTGCACTAGCTCTCAGACTGCTCCTTAGTTGTTTCCCTGGTTCCACTGCTCCTTAGCACTATGTTGGCCACCTCTTGACATAGTTCTTGGTGGACTCTGCCTAGATCTGCAGGAAGGCTAGTATGAAGGCTTACTTTTAAATGGGAATTGATGACCTGATATCCCTGCTAAATGCATTTCTATTAGCATGGCATTCCCCTATGTCTGACTAGGTTTTAGCCTTAGGCATGACAGATACAGGCACAACTATGAGTCACATGCAAGCTCCTTTTTTTCTTTGCCAACAATTATGTGTAAAATGTTTTCTTTTTCTTAGGGTTATTTATGCCCAAATGAGTTTATTGCAACTCAGGGACCGTTACCAGGAACGGTGGGCGATTTCTGGAGAATGGTGTGGGAGACAAGAGCTAAAACACTTGTGATGCTTACACAATGTTTTGAAAAAGGACGTGTAAGTTACCAGTGTACCAATTAAAAGCATTTGATATAAGTGGAAATTCTGTATGTAGTTTCTGTCAAGATTATAATACAATAATGTTAATTAATTAGTAATCATCTCCCTGCAGATAAGATGTCATCAATACTGGCCAGAAGATAATAAACCAGTGACTGTGTTTGGGGATATAGTGATTACTAAATTGATGGAAGATATTCAAATAGACTGGACCATCAGAGATCTAAAAATTGAAAGGGTAAGCCAGAACTGGAAGTTGATTTTTTAATCTTTTAATGCATATACGCCGTACTACCTGGTTGTCCTGCGCTTTGTTCTCATTCACATTTTATTTACTGAGAATTTCTATCACAAAGAGGTCAGATATCTTTCTGACAAGCTTTGAAGGGCCTATCAGGGTTACTGAAACTCTGATATGGTGGGAGGTGAGGTTTCTACTTGGGCACCTCAATTGTCTCTTCTAGAAAGGAGTAATCCTAACCATTCTGGAATCAGACAAATCCCTTTGAATATATCCCTCTCAGATTAAAGGGAAAGATTCTCTGGTGCAGCTGTTTTGCATTGTACCACCAGCCGTTTTGACCTCCACCCCCAGGAGATGCACCCAATATAAATGAGAATCATCAGTATTACTCCCACTCTGTATGGGAAGTGAGGGTAGGGCTGCAGCGTAGATCCGCGACTATAGTTCCCACTCTTTGGGAAAATTACTACCCAGCATTAAGTCAGAGCAGCAGGTAGGCTCAGTAACAGTCTGGGAATAATGACCCAAGATTAAGACAGCCTTTTTATGCACTCCCAACCTTGATCTGTGTTGTACATAGTGCAGCCAGATCCTAAGAACTGAACTTGGCTATCCAAATGCACTTATTACCATTCTGTGGCATGTGCATGTGACAAAAGGCACACAGGGGTTAAGGGATTGTCTCAGTGGTCACCCAATAAGGATATATTGTGCACATAGTACAGGGCAATTGAACATTTAAAAATGATTGGGAGAAGATAAATCTTTTTTCAGCTAAAATAGAACATAGAGTAAACAAGACTAGAAAAGGGACTATTAAGAGTAAAAGTACATGCCAGCAAAATGTGGAGTCACCTGTGTTAACCAGGGAGAGGCTGAGAAGATAATCTGACTTGACTAGGTGATCCATTTACTATAGGTGAACTACCCTGCACAAGAAGTTATGCCCTTTACAAGCATGTCATTAAATGTGCCATATTGCTAGTTTTAAGATTGTACTTCATCTTCCCTTCACAAATGGGTGGATTCTTCATGATTCTCCACTGAAGGTAAAAAGCATATGTGAGGCAAATAACTCAAAATTATTGCCATATTGCATCTCCTTAATTTTTATGTTGATCAATTAAAAAAAAGCATAGACATGAAGTAGTTTCTACATATAATTACAGTTGTTCAGTGTTTCTTGCAATATGAAAGGAGCAAGTGATTGATTCAAAAGAAATTTAAAAAAAATAGGAACTGGCTCATTACACAACAGTTTATTAAACTGTGTTAGTCCTTGCTGCAGGATATTGTGAATGCTAAAAACTTACAGGGCTTCAAAAAATCTTCATAATTTAGTAGAAGAAAATTCTGACAAGTACTATTAAATTTTGAGATACTGTCTCTGGCTAAATTCACAAGTCACAAACTACTAAGGATATTCTGGGGAACTATAAATACATTGTTGTAGTGTTTTATAATGTTCCTTAATATTTTTCCTTAACCACTGTTGGAAATAGGATATTGATCTTGACAGGCCTTTGGCATAATCCTGTTTGTTCATTTTTACATCCTTCATAAATGATTTATATATCAGATCATAATCTGCTCTTTTCTTTGGGTTGCTCTTGCTGCTGCTCTGATTGAGAGGGCATCAAACACTTAGAAAATATATCAGTGTTTACCAGTGTACGTGTGTTTGCCTTCACTACATCGGATCAGTTTTGAAGTGGTTGCTTTTTCCTAAACAAATTTCTCATTCCAGTTCACTAATCTTCTAAACGAGCCATAGAAATTTCAACCTTCAATCTAAAAATTAGATTGATATAGTGGCTGAAGTCAAATGGAGGGTGACTGCCAAAGTCATTAATAGTTCCTGAAAGATGAACTTGATGCCATCTCAGAAAACCCCCACCTGCCATAAGTTCTGCGCACAACAAATTATTCCTTCATGCCAGTACATTTTATAATTATTATGCTATTCTGACTGTTTTTTACACGAAATTTTTGAGAAGGCTATATGTAACTTACTGAACCTTCTGTAACATTTCTTCTGTAAAAATTACATTATTTTCTATTTTTCAGCATGGAGACTGCATGACGGTGCGGCAGTGTAACTTTACTTCTTGGCCAGAACACGGAGTCCCTGAAACAACTGCACCAATTATCCATTTTGTAAAACTTATCCGTGCAAGTCGAGCACATGATAACACACCAATGGTGGTTCACTGCAGGTAAGCACATTCACCAAATCATTGTTTAGTGTCTTAGAATTTCAAGTGCATATTAAAGTGCAGGGAAGTTGCCAGAAGAAAAACAATGAAGACTGAGTGCACAGACATGGTTCTAGTATGGACAGCAATGAAGTTTCTCTAGCAGTTCTTAGTCCTTTCTGGGAGGTAAAATGCCGAAGTGTGTCTGTTCTTTCATTCATGGAAATCCACTGAGGTGATGTTAGTGAAATTATTGCTTCAACAATTACCATAAGGTACTCCTGGATTTATCTCTGTTTTCCTCTTTAACTATAAGAATAGGAATAGCAATGGTACGTGTTTATTTAAATTACTTCTATTATGATTAGAGCTCTTCTTAACAAATAAGTATTAAAAATGTATTTATAATGTACATGTCACATATCATAAGGAAGAAACTATTTGGAAGCCACAGAGAATGACAAATAGGAATAAAGGTTTGCATAGGCCACATTTCAAACTCAATTGCCTATAAACAGATAAAATAAATGGTCTGGTGGTTAGAGGTGTTCAGCTGTCATAGTTCCAATTGGTTTCAAACTCAACATCCTTAAACTGCTATTTCAAAGAGTAAGTGTGTGAGGAAGGCTGTCTTAAGGAAAGTGATGAGTGTGTCTGCATTTTTTGTGCAGGTTGGTGTTCCTGCTGAATGAGTGGGCACACTCCAAAATAGCGATCTGAACTCAGATTTGATTCTTTGCCTCATTCTCACTTGATGTTAGGAAATATGTGAAAGAAAAAAGAAAAGCTGTCTTTGGTGCCACAAATCTCTGCCCTAACTACGCACTTTATCATGCATGGGAGTTCTTTTTTTTTGTCCTCAGTGTCCTAAGGGTACCACCCATGATGGATGGTAAAGCCTCATTTATTAGATATCGTCTTTGACAGACATTTACCTATACTACAAGGGCCAGAGAGACTATTACAGGAGAGAACAACACACTCTTCGTGTTTTCAGAACACTGGCATTCTCTGGAATCCCTCTGCAATGAATCCTATCCTGTTTTCAGAACGCAGATATGTAAAGGGGCCACCATGGGCCAGATACTCCACCTGTGCTCAAATTCCTAATGCTTATAAAACTTCATTATGTGTTCTCATATCCAAAGAACTCATTTATTGCTTTCTGGTCATTAGTCTTGCAAGTTCAAGAGTTTTGCTATATATCTCCTGATTATCTGCAGTGATATACCCTTCATTTATTATACCAGTTGCAGAGAAGTCTGATAGTGATTTTCAGAAAATCCTGTTCATTATGAAGTCTTTAAATAAAACACTAGCTAGCAGCATGTCTTGCACACTTATCCTCCTTTTAGAAGTATTTCCTTTAAAATGTTTTGCTAGATCCCATGTAGTTTTGTGTCAAATACCAAAAGTATCTCAGAATCCAAGTGTGATTTCACAAAATCTTATCACTTTTTTCTTTCTATTAGTGAGCTCTGGAAAACTCACACAAAAGCTGTAGAATCTTTTTTCCACTTAAACAGGTTTGGTTTAGTTATATTTCATTTGTCTGATGCAACCGCTTTGTAAAATCAAAATCAGAACATGGCTCAAATCAAGATGGCTCGAGATTTCACTTTATTCCATTCAGCAAGGAGACACACACATCACAAAATGTAAATACTGAAAAAAGATTTAGGAGTTTTTTCTGAAGTTTTCTTTTCACAATAAACTTAATTTATCTAGAATATTCTATGGAAATATGAAAAGCATTAACATAAAGGCTTTATTTTATCTTGTGTATCATGTTTGCAGTGCTGGCGTTGGAAGAACAGGTGTTTATATTGCACTTGACCATTTAACCCAACACGTAAATGACCATGATTTTGTGGATATCTATGGACTTGTAGCTGAGCTAAGAAGTGAAAGAATGTGTATGGTACAGAATCTGGTAAGATTTATCTATTTTGTTTTCCTGTTGTTAAAAAGTCAATCATCTCATCTCCTGATCTACAAACAAGACTAGAAAGCTCATAATAATCAGCTGTATAAAACATTTTCTACCAAATCCTGCTTATATTTATTTCAAACAATGTGCAGATAAATGGTTTGTATCTATTTAAGTATATTTGGCCAGCAAGGTCTTGACAAGTGCTGAAAAGAGTGATATTTAGACTTTAGAACTTACATAGAAATTTCTCAGTATTTGAGAAAGTTTATTTCAAGTTTTGGGTGAAGAACAGTTGTTAATATAAAATTGATTTGCTCATTCATTGACTTTATTTACTACTTAAATGTAATTTTTTTGTGTATGGATATGTGGCATAGTCCTCTAAACTTTTAAATATTTATTTACCACTGAACTCATTATTGATTCCTTGATTCTGTTTCAGTTGCATCAAATAAAATAGCACATATGGATAGATTTAAGTACAGACTTCAGTGGTCAAAATCAAGGCAATGGTGGGTTTAGGGTCTAAAAAAAGTACATTTCTGGCAGATTTATTCAGTATAGATATAAGTTTGTGATGAACTGCTGGTGAGGAAGACCTCTGCTATATCTGGAATTCTGAGTATATGTAAAGGAGTAATAGAAGAATTTAAAGCTGATCCTAAATGTCCAGTGGAACAGAAATTAGCTATGTTTGCATAAGGCTTCTGGCACAAGTCTACTGTAGGCCAGATCTAACCCACGACCTGAAGCCTTTAAGTCTACAGAACAACTCACTACCTTCTCTGTATGGATGAGTAGCTTCAGGATGAACCTCCTCATAACTGATGGATTTAAAGTGACTTTAATGTAAGGAGACTTGCTCCACTGGGAATGCAATTCTGCTATTCCTTATCACTGCAGAATATATGAAAAATGTGTCAGAATATACAAAGCAGTTAACCTCTCTTCAATAACTGCACTTCAGAAGATTTTGCAAGACCTCCTGGTGATACTCTGCCATGATATATCTTGTAAGGTGCAGTCTGATTACCATTTGCTTTAAATTTTTCTGTTTGAAGTATTGATGAAACTAAACAATTGCCAGGACTTTCTTGTGATGATGAATCCTGGGAATGCTTTTTGGTTGTTGTTTTACACTTTTGACTAGAAGTAGAATCATCTGAAAATAAATCAAAGGCTAACAGAACATTTAATGTGAGCACTCCCAAAATAAAATATTTAAATGGTAAGACATTAGATAAGATCAATGTACATTTTTAAAATATGCATAATTTTTTTATATCTCTTCATGTGCATATTTGGGTGGGGACTAGGAAAAGGTGTGCCAAAATGCTATACAAGATGATGGTGTCATAGTTCTGATTTCCTAATGGATCAAGTATCAATCTATATGCTAGTTGCAAGAGCCTGAAACAGGTTGTTCTCTGTCCAGGTCATTTCTAGCTCATGCTTGCAAGACTACAAAAGTCAGATCAGCAACAAAACTTGCCCAAAGGGAATCAATCTTGTAAAGTTTTATGGTAGATTGCTATTCTGAGAGTTCTGTTATAAAATACTGTTGAGTTGCCTATTAATCAGATTTTATGTGATCAGCACAAAAGATATAAAGAGAGGAGCAATTCCTTCCCAGAGCTCAGTTTAGAGATCCATCAGTCAAACTGTAAAATCTATGGGTAAAATAAGTAAAAACTGCTTGTTCTCAGACCTGTATTTTGCTTGTTTATAGCTTCAAAATAGTTTTTCTTTTGCCAACAGTCACGATCTGTTACTGTAGCCAATGGATGCAGAATAGTTAAGAATGTCATTGATTCTAACCGGGAAAATAACTTGTTACACATACATTGCCCAGGTAGCCTCTCCCCTGGCAAACCCAGAAAGATTTTCATTGCTACATCAGAGGCAGCTGTATGAATACAAAAGATTACAGAGCTTTCAGAGTCTGCCTTCTGAACTGGAATAACTAATCTAAACTCCACCGAAACTTCAGACCTTCATTCTAGAAATCCAACAGACATGTTAAAGTTTATCTTGTTGCCAAGTACAAAGGCTAGTTTGTACAAAGTAATGCTACGCTACTACTTTAGTAAGAAAGCTATTGAAAAGTGTAATGGTACCGTGTGCTTCAGGGGCTTATGAAAGACTGTTTTAATTACCCACAGCTCTGGAGCATAAAACATATCTGTGTAAGCGATTTCTCTTATACATCTGAGACACTTGACTTGAAAACTGACGGCAGTTCTGAAACAAAATATCAATTATTGAGCAAAAAAATTACGTATTTTTACCTGGGCAAAAGTCAACGATAACAAAGTGATTTTGGTAGAGATATTCCAAATCTCTCTTGACAAGGTTCTGGGAAACATATCTTAGCTGACACAGCTTGAGCAGTGGGTAGTTGCACTAGATAATCTCAAGAGGCCTCTTCCAACCGGAACAAATCTCTGATACTGTGATCTGGCTTGTTTTCTGCATCTACATATACAATACTTCTCCTATGTGAAGATATGCTTAATCTATTTATTATATTTCTATCTATTTTCATTCCTTTATTTCATTCTTACATTGCCTTATTTTGTTCTTCTCTTTTCAGACTTTATATCCTTGGAAGTGTCAAATTAACTTTAGTTGCCCATACTTTGCATTATAGTCTGTTAAAAATGAGGCTACAGTTCAAGAAGTATCACTAAAAATACTGTGGGTTTTTTTGCTCCTAGCAATGGTGCATGCTCCTAGAACATAAAAGTTTAGCTTTATTTGAACTTCTGCATTTGAGTGCACCCTGCTGGTTTTCTCTGTGCTAGAAAGAGGGGAATTTTCTTATCTAAATATTACATTCATATGGTTCAGTTTCTTAAGTCTGAATCTAATGGCAAAAAGTCTTTTCATAGAACGAACCTTCACAGAAAATTGTCAAATAGCTTATTAGTCTCAGTTATGGCTAGTGTAATTTCATATATCTTACTGTGCATAAGGATTAATATGTTTTGACAAATTTTAAAGCATTATGCTTCATAATGAATGAAATCAGATCAGGTATATATGATATGGTCACTGAAGTACTGAGATTGCTCAGTTAAACTGTAGTTACTTTGAGAATATCTAGATGTTATAAAAAAGTAAAAGACTTTTTGGTATTAGAAGTACATCTAATCAAGCATCTTTAAATTTACATCTTACAGGCACAATATATATTTTTGCATCAATGTGTATTGGATCTGTTGACAAGCAAGGGAAGTAGTCAGCCCATATGTTTTGTAAATTATTCAGCACTGCAAAAGATGGACTCTCTGGATGCCATGGAAGGTAAGGAGATACAAACTGTCTCAAAATCATTTTTTCATAGACTTTTCCAGATTAAGAAGCAGGAAAAAAGTACTTTGACATCCATTTTTTGGCTTCAAAAATGTAAATTTCTAACATTTTTCTGCTCTTTAGTCTTCCTCATAGTAATAGCCATTGCTCAATCTTTCCACTTCTTTTTCCCTGCAAGATTTTTTAAATTCAGCCAAAAATAGTTATCTGCCATTAGTTACTACTTGTTTACAACGTAGGTTAATGTAATGTATCTGTTTCTTTTGTAGGTGATGTGGAGCTTGAATGGGAAGAAACTACCATGTAAATACTAAGAGTAAACATGAAAGAAAATGAGATTTTGAAAGTTAGTCATATTTTTCTAAGCACAGGGGCCAAAGTGAATTCCCCTATTTTGATGATTAAAGCAAACACAGATGATCAAAGCATCTTCTCTTCTATCAATGTGCCTTCATAAGTTGAAGTATTTTATTCAGAACACTGAGCAATAATGATTAGGAGTACTTTTGCACAGACTGCACTTCTGGTGTTATATGAATAGTGCACCCAGTATGTATAAAGTGTGTTTGAACATATTCCTTTTTTTCTGATTATCTTTGTAAAAGAAAAACGAGCCAAATAAGATGTAAAAATATCATATTCCCGGTGAACTTTTTTTGGTGTGAATTTGATGTGTTCTGCATGTTTTGGTTTTAAGTAAAAGCTACAGTTTCTTGAATCATTCTTGCTAGATTGGCTTCAGTGTTGTCAGCTCTTGCAGATTAATTCCAATACCATCATAATGATCTTTACATAACTGTATGCTCTGGTGTTTTGAATATTTTTTTTACAAGTGGTAGCATATCAGCTCATGATCCTGAACAGCTGAAGAGTCACCTTCTGACATGGAAAGGATTATTCAACTCTTACACAGCACACAGTAGCTCTTCAGGGACACTTGGGGCTATTTAAGCTATTTAATAATCAGCAGGTTGTTTTTTTAAATATATAATGGTGATTGCATATGTTCAATGCAGAAGAAAGTATTTAACATTCCTGCTACTTTTTCAAACAGATAAAACAAAGTAAAACTATAAATCTATTATCTATTACAAAGAATTTTAGATTGACTTATGTAAAAGAATGTCTAGAATTCATTCAAATTTCTTGAATATAATACTATTCAGTATTTCAAAAGATTGCTCAAAATGTAATGTCAAGATATTTTATGACAGTGTTGTCAAGTAAAAATGTTCTTGCTTCTTCCTCAGGCTTGGCATCACTGTAGACACTGAAAATTATGGGAGCTAATATTTGGAGATTTAATAAAAGGAAACATCTTCCACTTCCACTAATGATTATTATTATTATTATTATTATTATTATTATTATTATTATTATTATTATTATTATTATTATTATTATTATTATTTATTATTATTATTGGAAAGAGATCTGAAACAGGAATGAGAGAAGCGGGAAGCTCTTATCAGAGAAGCAGAGCAAAAATATGTAGAGTAGGAAGACTAGAGAGATAATTAAACTGTGTGCCCTAGTTTTGCATGGAAGTGACAGTATTCAACTGATATTAGTGGGGGGAAGGGTTGATTGCTAAGTTTTTCTCTGTGTAAAGAAATGGATCATCATTCTGAATAACACTGAAACTGTGACCTTAATCTGAGTGCAAAACATAATAGTAAAAAGACTTCAGAGCTGCTATGTTATGTTTAGACAGAAAAAATCAAAGATGCCTTATTGAGGCATCAAGCTAAGAGAAGTCAGAAAAAACCTCTTTAGAACCTTGAAATATGTATGTGAGGAGCTGTGTTTGCATGCACACACTCTGAATGGAAGAGTAAATGAACAAATCTTTCCATTTCTTGACTGTAGCTACCAGACGAAAATGCTATGCAATGTGTAACCTGATACTTTTCAGAAGAAAACGATAGTAGGTGTTTTTAGAAGCTGGAGAGATTGGTACAGTGAAGACCCTTTGTAATTTAACAGAAAGTGCTAAATATCTAAAACGAAAATCAAAAGATAGTGTTTAAGGAGATGGAAGTGGTCTACGAAGATATTTGGGCAATCTGTCTTTTAGGAAGATTGACGGTATTGTAAACATCACCTGTCAAGCTAAAAAGTAAACAATGCCTTTTAAAGCTGGATAGAGCAAGAGAGAGGTGATGTCCACAGCTGTTCAAGTCTCTGGCAAAGCATTCGGTACAGCTCTAGTTTCATTTGGCTCCTATGAAACACGTGTTCTTCATTTATTATACATGTACTTTAAAGTATTCTGACAAATTGCTTATAGGGACTTACAGATGTTTTTCATCATTTGTAGTTGTACTTGGTAGCAGTACATGCTATGATAAATTGACACTATAGAGTCATAATCTTTTATAATTTTATATCCACAATAGTGGAATATCTGTATGTGTGTCATTTCTCTTTTGATTGGAGGAAAAATCTAAGAAGCCTTATGCAACTTACAGTTGAACTCCAGAAGTTTCAAATGTGCTTAAGTGTTTTCTGTTTTTTATAAAATACTTAATGATGAAGACTCCTGAATACTCCCTTAGGGAACCTGCCTATGGTCAGACATTGCACTTGGTAGTCTGGTGGTCTGACAACTTAGTAAGAGACTAGAAAATGTGCGTTTCTTTGCTGTAGAGGCAAAGCAAAAGCTGAAAAGTAATTCAAGTAGTTTACTGTACCATTTGATGTAAGCAATCTCATATGTTCTACCTTGATATATTTTGCATTGTCTTCAGGGTAGAAGACAATATTCAGCATAAAGTGGCCACAACTCGTAAGATATATGGTCAGGGAAAGAAATATGTCCAAGCAACTCTCTCAAAGAACTGGTTTTCAGTATAAACATAGCAGTAGTTCACTGACCTTCTTGTGTGTCTGCCAACGCTTTACAGTGGTAGGAGAGCATCTATATATCAGAAAATTCCTCCAGACCTTGGTGCAGTCATGAAGAAAGAATTTCCACAGTCTCTTGTCTTTCATCCCTCCTTCCCTTATTCAATGACAACTATGGTGGTTCTACTGACAGCACTGTAGAGCTGGAGGCAAGCTATTTCTCTTTTAAGAGTATGCGTATATAAATAAAGCAGCACACCAATTCATTTTTAATATCATCACTCGATTTTCTACAAATTCTTGGCATTACTAATATATGAAGAGTGTACTCTATCAAAATTAGAAAAGGAATAAATAAAAATTGGAGAAAAATTCAGAAATTCTAGAGGATGATTCAGAGATTCTCTAGGATTATTGCAATTGTATTGAAACTAAGTCATACTGTATTAAATTATCTGGGCAACTTCTAGAGACTGATATATCTCCATACACAGAAGAAGCAGTCTTTATATATGTATTTATAGCCAGTTCTGCCGGACATCATTACGAGAGGCTACTGTCAGTGTCCTTAAAAGCTGATCTGTTCTGTTCACAAAGGTAACAGAAAGACAGCAGAACATCACATTCATGTTGAATTTTAATCACTTCTTATACTGTTAAAAGAGTTGGTAAAAATAATTGTGCAAAGTTGTGATTTTACTGTATATATGGAGCTATTCAGTAATTTAAATTCATAACATTATGTGAAAGATTAATAACATGAATTAATCTGTGTAAAACCCTCTGTGTACTGCTGTAATACAGAGTATGCTCGTAAGCAGTTACTAAGATAAAGCAGGAAAGAGTAATGAGTCAATCATATTTTATACTAAGGTAACCAGACAGGGAGATTTCTTGGTTGAATACAGAAATCACAAAGCATCCTAGATCTGAACATGAATTTGCAGAGATTCAGGACACAGAGTCCTGCAAAATCTGTGAACAGAAAAGATTTTCTCTGAAAATATTTTGACAGCAAGTTACAACAAAATTTGAGATGTACCTGTTTCAGAGGGTATTACATGTGTGTTATAACACAACATCATTGTCTATCCATGGAAACAAATGATAAAAATAGATACAAATTAATTTCTATTTTAAGACCTATGAAAAGTAACCAGTTAGCTCTCTGGTTTAGAGGATATGCATATGATAATAATGAATTCAGGGTTGTTTTATAATTAAGCTACATGCCCATTCAGTGCTGAAAAAATCTGTAATGCCTTGAGTACAGTCAACTGTAACTGGAAACCACTGACACATAGTGCTGAACATGTCTTTGTCGATTTTGATTTTAAGGAAAATGTACTGAAAGGTGATCCACTGCTTCAACCACTTCTCTGTGACTGTTGTGTCACCACTCTATGTACGGTGTTGAAAAGACAAGTCCTCTCAACATTGTTCTCCATGGTTTATTCTTTTTTCTAATGCTGTATTACTTGTCTATATGTGATTATACTAGAAGGAATTGTAAACAGTAATATGGATCCTCTGAATTCAAATACTGAGGGCATGATCTACAGGTGTGTAGTGGTCTTACTTCAAAATGTTTCTCTGTCTTCTTCCCATGAGTTGATTTCCAAATGACATCATAGAATATCAGCTGCATTTTTGGGCTGACTCTTGTTCAATACATTTTCTGCCCTGTCCTATCTGTGGCTACAATTACAAGGTATGAGGCAAGTGCAAACCTGCTTTTGTCGTCTGTGGTCTCAGAGCTGAACTGTGGTATCAGTTGCATATCTTTGCAGCATTGGCACTGTATGCAATTGTAAGAGTAAGCTGGCTTCCTATCCAGGAGTCCCCCCTACTGCTATAAGAAATTCTGGTATAAATTTTAGCACTGGTCGTTGTTCAGTGTCAGCTGAAAAAAGTGTTTGATGTTTTGCATGGCCATTCTCTTCTCCCAATTACTTTTCCCAAACAATGCTGACCTAATTCTTATTTTAATTATTTATTCTGACAACTCCCTTATCATGTAGGCCCTTTTTTAGATTCTACTATGTAAAGAAACATGAAAATCAATGGCTTTTCAGCACTGAGTAACAGTGTATGATACATTTCACAGATCCAACATCAACAGGCAGTTTGAAATGAAGTTGTGACTCTGTATTTCAGTTGAAAGATAGCATTTAGAAGGTTTCAGATATATTTAGATCATCTTACTCTGCTTGTTGATTAGTGTAACCAGGGTGATCTTTTTGTAGGATGACAGCTGCACCCAGCTATCCACTGTAATCATGAATAAACCATTCCAATACTCTTTACAGTCAATACTGTAAAAGCCGAGAGAAGTTTTACAAGGATGTTCCTGAAATATTCTGCAGGAGATGGAGTTCTGAATGATATAAAAAGAATACTTGGATACTGGAAACCTAATGTGCAACTAAAGCTGTGCCATTCACAGCTGCATTCCATGAAGCCTGCTGAGCAGGGTGTGTGTCGTAGAACACACAGAGAATATTTGGGACAACATAACACAACCTTTGAGCTGAGTACTGCAAGATATAGGGAACTCTTGCCATCCATGCAGAAATGCACTTAAATAAGGTTTACTGTAAAATGTTCCTGGCTTACTTGAAAAACATAAGTGCAGGAAACACCTATTATTACAACTGGTAATAATTTGTGATTCAAGTTATTGCTAGGAACCAAAAGAATCTATTTAATCAATTCTTTCACTAATCTTAAATATAGAAACAAATACTTTGACACCAGAAGTGTGGAACATGGACAGACAGAATATAGACAAAGATTTTCCTCCACTAACAAAGGCACTAGCAGAAAAGTAGTTAAACCTCTATGTCCCACTCTTTTCTTCAGTCTGCTGTATGCATGTGCTCACCAGCTAGGAATAATTTCAGATAAACAGAATTTATTCATTTTTAATTTGATTCATATATTGGTAATCTCTTTCTCAGAATCCAGCATAAAACAATTACAGAACATTGCTTTTTCATTTATCAGTCTACTGTTTAGATTCACAGTAGCTCCATTTAACTATTTTTCTTACTAATTTAACTATTTTTTTTACTAATTCTCTGTCAATATTACACAGACAAAGTACATAGTGTGAATTTGGGCTTGCATATCGTGCACAGAATTCTTCATTGAGCTGCGCTAACACAATATTGCACTCCAGGCATGGGCAAGGAATTGACCTGAGGAGACTGGCTGCCTAGCATGTAATCTTACTCCTTTTTGAGAACAGGATAGTTATCTGACTGTCCCAGTCAGGGAGTCCAGAAAATGTTTCCAAAGCTGTCTGACATTTATATGTAGGAGTTTAAACTGAACTTTTCTCTGCTAAGTATGAACAAGAAAAATCAGGACTATTACTGTTGCTGTTAGCAGCTCATCTTTGCTGCTTAGGATACCAAGAAGTCAACCTCTTGTTTTACTGATATTAACAGTGCTTTTAGCTTACAGAGACTTACTTT